ATTTGGCATTTAGGACCATAGTACTACAGGAGAAGGACATCCGTCGGAACAACTGGAGACTTGCCTATGTCAGGAGTTGTGAACCAACAGGTGTTTTGATTGGACCAAATAGCAGAGTAGTGATCAAGGGTCAGCTAACGAAAAGCACTGCAGTTTCCCAAGGTTTGTGCTCTACTGCAACCCACTGTTGATAGTAGGATCTCTCAGGACCTCGACATAGCTCCTATTGTTGTGGATTATGATGCCAATTTTCCAGGGATTGTTGATGTGCACATCTCTAACGTGACTACCAGGACAGTTGTTGTGCCACCTAAAGCCCTCCTCTCTGCGAAGTTACAACCAGTCTCTCTTGAGGAACCTGTCACAGGTTTGCCAGTGGATAAAGACACTCTCTTAAAGGACATTGATGTTGAGTTGAAGGATCTCACTGACAGCCAGATCGATCAAGGACTTGAACTCATCCTCAAGTTTCAAGACATTTTCTCCAAGAGTGATAACGATTTGGGACATTCCTCTGCTGTGAAGCACAAGATCAACCTAACAGATGCTGCACCATTTAAACAGAGGCACCGGCGAATACCGCCCGCCCATGTATGATGAAGTTCGAAGTCACTTGACTCAGCTACTTAGTGCTGGAGTCATACGCAAGTCTCATAGTCCCTGGGCCTCGAACGTGGTACTTTCGACGCGAAGAAAGACGGCAGCAAGCTGCGATGTGTATTGATTTTCGCCAGCTCAACAAACAAAGTATCAAGGATTCCTATGCCCTGCCAAGAATAGAAGAACTTTTGGACCACTTAGGTGGAATGAAGCACTTTTCCGTGCTGGACATGAAAAGCGGTTACCACCAGGTACAGTTGTACGAGGAGCACAAGGAGAGAACAGCCTTCACAGTTGGTCCTCTAGGCTTCTACGAGTTTAACCGAATGCCCTATGGTCTCTGTAATGCCCCAGCTACATACCAGCGCCTCATGGAGGAGTGCCTTGCGGGTCTGAACCTAAATATCTGCCTGATATATTTGGACGACCTTATTATTTTTCTCGACATATGAAGAGCACATGGAGAGGTTGGAACTTGTACTTCGCCGTCTTCAGGAGACAGGATTGAAACTAGCCCCAAGAAGTGCAAGTTCTTCAAGAGACGAAAGTAAAGTATGTGGGATACATCATCTCAGAGGACGGCATTGAGACAGATCCAGACAAGGTAAATAAGATCCAAGATTGGCCAACTCCAGCAAACCCAGATCAGGTCAGGAAGTTCCTCGGTTTCGCGAGGATATTACCGAAATTTGTCAAGGATTTCTCTTCGATTGCAAGACCCTTTCCATGCTAATCCCTCAAGGAACAGTCAAGAAATCCAAGGTGCGGAAACCTCTGGAACAAATCAACTGGATTTGGGGACCAGATCAAGAATGTGCATTTCAGGAGCTAAAGAAACGCCTGACCTCACCACCCATCCTGGGATATGCAGACTACAGGAAGCCATTTGAACTGCACATTGACGCCAGCGGTCGTGTTTAGGATCTGTACTCTACCAGGAGCAGGATGGTCATCTAAAGGTCATCGCCTATGCGAACAGGTCATTAAACAAGTCAGAAAGGAATTATTCTGCACACAAGCTGGAATTTCTCGGACTGAAATGGGCAGTAACTGAAAAGTTCCATGACTATCTATATGGAAGCTACTTCGAGGTTGTAACAGACAACAATCCATTGACATATGTTCTAACTACAGCAAAACTTGACGCCACTGGACATCGATGGCTGGCTGCATTATCTGGATACAACTTCACGATCAGATACAGACTAGGGAAAACTAACATTGATGCGGATACGCTGTCAAGACTCCCAGAATTGAGCAAGACGAAGGAGGACCAAATTCCCACAGATTCTGTACAAGCCATCTGCAACCTCGCAAATACTACCAACTTTGTGGAGAGTCTCTGTTTTGCAACCAGTATCACCAAGGAGGATGAAACACCACTGACAGAGGATATATGTGAAACCAATGCGCTTAGACTGGAGGAGAACTCAGGGCAAGGATCCAGTCTTATCCATCATCATGGAACATGTAATGATCCGCCAACGATTGGATAGAAGCCAGCACCTTGGTGATCCTGAAGTTCTCAGCTACTCAAAGGTGTTTCAGAGCCTTAGGATTAGAAGAGGAGTGCTTTTTCGTATCATCACAGTGGATGGTGAGGAACAGGAACAACTTGTTCTCCCTAAGAGATGTCGGCCATCAGCCCTGCAATGCCTTCATGATGATGTCGGGCATCCTGGACGAGATAGAACATTATCACTGATACGGGAGAGATTCTTTTGGCCAGGGATGACAAAGGACATAGACAGCCACATTCAGAGGTGTGATAGATGTCTCAGGCTAAATCAACCATGATGAGAGCACCTTTAGTAAGCATTCAGACGTCACAGCCACTGGAGCTTGTGTGCATGGATTTCCTCACACTGGAACCTTCTAAAGGTGGACAACAACACATTCTCGTCGTGACAGATCACTTTACAAAGTATGCCCAAGCCTATCCTACCAAGAATATGACTGCCAAAACCACTGCGGATGTGTTCTTCAACAACTTCATTGTACACTACGGCTTACCCAAAAGGATACATTCTGATCAAGGCCAGAACTTTGTTGGAAACTCATGACGGAACTGTGTTCTCTAACTGGAATGGACAAGTCCAGGACAACACCCTACCATCCAATGGGCAATGGGATAACAGAGCTTCAACAGGACGCCCCTAAGCATGTTGGGTACTCTTGATCCAGACAAGAAGAAAGACTGGAAGAGCTACGTGGGACCATTGGTGCATTCTTATAATTGTACCAGACACGAGACCACTGGACAGTCACCGCTTTTTCCTGATGTTTGACGCCATCCCCGCCTGCCTATTGACCTTGCTTTTGATTGACATCACCAATGCCAAGTCATCATCTGTATCCAAGTACACAAAGGCACTACAAGACCGACTCAAGACTGCATATGACCTGGCAGTGAAGAACACCAGTACTGCTCAGTCACGACAGAAGACTAACTATGATCTCAGGACAAGAGCTGCAACCTTAGAGATCGGAGACAGAGTACTGGTGAAGAGAGTTGCTTTCGAGGGCAAGCACAAACTAGCAGACAAGTGGGAGGAGGAAGTGTATACTGTGTTGCATCAGCCCAACCTCTCCATACCAGTCTTCACTGTGGCTAAGGAGAACGGAGATGGACCTAGAAGAACACTTCACCGAATCTTCTTCTTCCAATAGGTTCATTATCACCCCAGCAGCAAGTGAAGACACCACCTATCCCAAAGCCAAGGAAACGTAGCCAGAGAGCATTCCAAATGTCACTGAGGATGTCACCATCGAGGCAAAATGATGAAAGTGAGGAAGATTCAGTAGAGATCCTCGCCTTCTCATCCAAACCTCGCGTAGCAACTGATAACCCAGCTGCAAGGCCAACCGAGGAGAATACAGAAGACACTGAAGATGCCACCAGTTCACAAGTAGTGCCACTACCATCGAACAGGAAGAAACTTCAGTGAGTACTGAACCAGCATTGGAGCTTGATGTTCATATGGATGAGGACCAACACGTGGATGAATCTGGAGATGTTCACGACTCTGGGCATCAGGAACCTCAAGAACTGGACATTGACGCAATAAAGGAAGAGCCTCAGGATCCAGAGGAGGAGACACTCACAGGGACTACAGTGTCTACTGCAGTACCATCACAGGAGACTGATGGTTTGGAGGAGCAGTCCACGGAGGAAGAGACAGTCCCAAAGACATGTGACGTGGTCCCTGTAAATCCATCACCGAACCTGATGGAACAGCCGAAGAGGTACCTTCTACATTGCAATCACCACCGAGAAGAAGACGACGGTTACTACCGCAAGTACCAGTTAGAGCTTTGAGGAGATCGACACGGCAAAGAAGAGCACCTCAGCTATGGTGACATTGTGATGTCGACGTCCGCATCTCAGGCAGCCTGGAGGGCTTAGAGCTGAGTATCTGAGGTCACTGTATGATGACGGAGCTTTTCGACAGGATGCCAACTCACATCTCAAGATCCATCATGGACCTGGTACATTGCAAGCCCTAATGATGAAGACATCATTCCCCTGGGGAGGGAAGTGTGTGGCAGGGACATACTTTGTATGTCTGAGTGTTAGGATTAGTTTGCCAGTTAGCTTTAAAGTATTGTAAATAATCATTAATTTTCTGTCTTTATTTCAGCATCCAGTAGGCTGATATATGCAATGTAAATATGTATTTTAATATATTGCTTTGTTTCAACTCACTACAGTGACTGAAATGAAATAGTTAACAATTCATGTATTTTAAATAAGTTTCTTGATTTCAGCTCATATCAGCTTGAAACAATTCATATAGTTCATCGCTAGTTTTAGTAACACAACCAATAGTGTCTACCCAACCGTGACAACATCGCTACGATTGGTCCATTCAAACCTGCATGCTTTTTCTATGCCTGAACACCTCACACCCTGACACAACTGACAAAACTTGTGTGAGAGACAGACAAGCATAGGCGCCAACTTAATTTTCATCAGGTTAGTAAACTAACTATCTTAAATAATGTTTATGCATATCTAATGTAGCAGTCATTCAATAAGTAATCTTAAACACATAGCGTATATTAATAAGGGTAATTAATGCCGCCAGGGTAGTTAACATGTCTTGTAATCGCACGGCAGGTAAACGCAGTTCCCATTTTAATGTGTATCATATATTCCCTTTTAAACATAAACAGCATTAAATAACTTCAAAGCGAGGCATTGTGAGTATGCTTTGTGTATGAATGTTGTCTAATTATTATTATCGATTTTGCACAAATAATGGCAAAGTGTCTCAATCTAAGATTTTACAGTGTATAAAATATATCTTTCCATGCTTATTGTTATGTCTGCATGGACAGTTTACACTGAATCGGTTTGGTTTTGATCGGAATCTATCTTATTTCCAGCACACAGTATTCCATCGTCTGCTATGGCAGCCAGGCATAAACACGGGCCCCTGTGCCATACATAGGGTATGTAATGTGCCGCATAATACTGTTTATATCATGTGTATATATAATTCTAGCATACAGAATCGTCGTTCCTTTATATTAACCTTCTAAGGTAAATAGTGTATGTTGTGCGGTGATTGCCGCCGATATCATTTATGGCTTTGTTTAAGTCATGTCATGAGTTATCGCCCCTGATCTTTGTAAAGTTCAATCCCTCGGCGATCATTATAGTTCCGTAATGTTTTAATGTACAGATAATATTGTCGGCGCTCATGCATTCAAGCTCTATTAACATTTATAATGTTAATATACTGAATATATATAAATAGATGTCAATGTATGTTCTGCAAGCATGCCGAACATTGTTATTATATTGTTTAGTATAAGGTTGCTACAATTGTTTCAGGGTTTATCGTGTATGTTGAAATCTACATCCACTTGGAATAAACAGAACTTACAACCCTGCATTCACTTTGCGTGTCGTCATTGTGACCCTGCTACAAAATGGAGCCCCCAGTGATTTGTGGACTTGAAAAAGTTTCAGCGATGGACACTGCCTCTGCCTAGCGACATACAACACCCCGGGTCTACGATCGTCACGTGATGTCTTCACACACACCCCAGGATTCGTCACTTATGTTCGTCTTATTGGACATTCCTAGAATACCGCGGTATTGTGACTTTACTTGTTGCTAGCTAGCATATTGACTTTAATGGCGCCTTGTAGTATTATGTTATGAGCTCATAGATAGTGCATTTTTTCATTTGTTTACATTTTGATTAATTTCAAGTAACCTTTGTAAAGTGTTTGTTTACATTTATATTTATATATTTTTTTGGTCGACCATATTGTTTGTTTACATTTGATTTTGTTAACATTTAAATTAGTATTAATAAGTTATTAATTCAGCTGATTTTTTTTCCTAGCTGAAAAGTAATTCAGTAGTGTAATTTGCATTTCTCATAAAGTTTTTTCAAGCGGCATTACTGCTTAGTGTTTAAATTATCTTTTCTTAAAAGTTTAGTTAGCAAATCATTTCTTAGTATTCTTAATTCATAGTTAAGTTAGTATAATGCTAGTACTTTGCTTCATTATTATTTGCCTTACTTGTGCATTTATGATGAATGGTTGACATGTGTGTTTGTGTTTCCTCTTATTAAGCCTCAACAACATTTTCTCAAATTATTTTAAATAAAGCTCAGTTAATAAATAACTAAGCTTGGTGACGAGTGACTTGACAAGTAACTTGACGGTGCGCTGACAGTTCACCATATTGCAATGCACACATACGCAAACAGCACTGTGTTTGTTGTTTATTTCTTGAATTTGTTGATATACATATTTGTTTTCTTTCAGGTAAACAAACAAGCATACGCTTTATTTCACATTATTTTTCTTTCAGGTTCCGTAAGTGATTGGTTTAAAGTTGTTATCTTTTAGGTTACAACTTGGCTTCATTATTCGTTTGATTACTTTGCATCCACACTTGTAACCACACTTGTTACACAAGCTTGCGTGCACAGAAACATCTTAGCTTAGTTTCTTACACCCTCTTATCAGCAATTAAGTTGCTGGTGGTCACAAATAATTTCGTGGTTTGTGTTTCTCTATACTTGGTAGTATCTTCGTTTTACACTTGTGTGTCAACGATGGATTTTACGGATAAGGAGATCCAAAACATGTTAGAAGTGTTTCAGTAGGGGAAGAATGTGAAGCCTACTGCTGATACACCTGAGGAGTTTGAGTCCTGGTTCGATTCCTATGCAGCTCTCAAACAAGAGGATTTGGAGGAAGAGGAATACCATGCAATAGATGGTACTTTGCCCGCTGCTTCTCAGTTGTCTGGACGGTTACACTCAGGGCTGGATTCAAACTATGTTCCTCCTATGCCTGGCACATCTGCTTCAACTACACCGGATCCTCGATTGTTCTACCATCAGTTACCAAAACTTTCGCTCTTCAGTGGAGACTCTGGTAAGGATGGGACTATGAACACTGGCGATATGAAGTGGCATGCCTTATAAACAAGAGGACTAAGCTCTCTGAAGATGATCTCTATGAGGTAATCCGGCCGGTCACTGAAGGGAGAAGCTGCCATGATAGCCAGGAATCTTGGACCACAGGCAAGCACAGCTACTTTGCTATCCAAATTCCAGAGTATGTTTGGGGAGGTTGACAGGTCAGAGAGCCGGATTTCTAACTTTTATAGTGCAAGGCAGAAGGACAAGGAGTCTGTCTCATCCTGGTGTTGTCGCCTAGAGCTTCTTCTATCCAAGGCATTGGAGAACAATCCGGAGTACATCAGTGTGTCTAGGAAAGATGATATGCTCAGAAACATGCTGTGGAGTGGGTTGAGACCTGAACTGAAGAACCAATCAGGATACAAGTTCGATCAGACGTCAAACTTGAACGATCTCCTCAAGGCTCTACGTGAGATAGAAGTGGATCAGGCCAAGGTGGATGACAGCAACACTTCTAAGCGGCAAGCATCTGTCAAGATGGCTTCCACATCTGAGCCGAATGGAAGAAGGAGATCGGGAACCTACAGGCCATGATCAAGACATTGACTACTCAGGTTTCGAGTTGAAGAGTCAACAGGCCAATCCTACTTTTCATCAGCCAAATCAAGTACACGGATACACCCGAATAAAAGCAGGGGACCTCGCTTTTCTGGAAGAGAGGGAAGAGGACACGTTAGCATGGATTTCCAGCCTTCAGGATTTGGTTATCTTGAGCCACAAGGATCTGTTCCTGAGCCTCAATCCTGTACAGTATCATATGATAACTCATTATACACAGCGACATCTCAGGATCCGCCTAACTTTGAACCTCAACTACCTTATGGACCAAGTGAAAGTGTTCCATACACGGCGTTCAACCAGAATCAACCTCATTATCGACAGAGAAGACAGGATGCTGTGTGTTGGAACTGTGGATATACAGGGCATCTTCACTACTCATGTACTGTCAGGACGGATCATAGGAGGAGACCTTTAAACTTTCGCAGGCCTATGGGAAGGGGTCGCCCATAGGTTTTCAGGATTGCCCCACTTCACAGATACCGGATGGACTCGTTGGACATTCAACAGAAGTGGACATTGTTGTGGAGGACATATCAGTTCCGGCACTTTTGGACACAGGTGCCACAGTTTCAGTAATGTCTCAATCATTTCATAGGAGTCATCTTAGTCACATCCCCATTCATCCTCTAGGAGACCTTCTTGATATTGAATGTGCTGGAGGGGAGAACCTGCCCTACCTTGGATATGTGGATGTTGTAATACAGACCATCGGTTCTTCCATTTCTTCCAGATCGTGCCTCCTTCTTGTAGTTCCGGAGACCCAGTACAACTCCCCGAAAGTACCAGTGCTCCTTGGAACCAATGTGCTCAAACCTCTACTGGAGGAGTGTAAGACTTTGTATGGCACCAAGTTCCTCCAGAAAGCAGAATTGTTTACACCATACTATTTGGCATTTAGGACCATAGTACTACAGGAGAAGGACATCCGTCGGAACAACTGGAGACTTGCCTATGTCAGGAGTTGTGAACCAACAGGTGTTTTGATTGGACCAAATAGCAGAGTAGTGATCAAGGGTCAGCTAACGAAAGCACTGCAGTTTCCCAAGGTTTGTGCTCTACTGCAACCCACTGTTGATAGTAGGATCTCTCAGGACCTCGACATAGCTCCTATTGTTGTGGATTATGATGCCAATTTTCCAGGGATTGTTGATGTGCACATCTCTAACGTGACTACCAGGACAGTTGTTGTGCCACCTAAAGCCCTCCTCTGCGAAGTTACAACCAGTCTCTCTTGAGGAACCTGTCACAGGTTTGCCAGTGGATAAAGACACTCTCTTAAAGGACATTGATGTTGAGTTGAAGGATCTCACTGACAGCCAGATCGATCAAGGACTTGAACTCATCCTCAAGTTTCAAGACATTTTCTCCAAGAGTGATAACGATTTGGGACATTCCTCTGCTGTGAAGCACAAGATCAACCTAACAGATGCTGCACCATTTAAACAGAGGCACCGAATAATCACCCCGTCCATGTATGATGAAGTTCGAAGTCACTTGACTCAGCTACTTAGTGCTGGAGTCATCACGCAAGTCTCATAGTCCCTGGGCCTCGAACGTGGTACTTTCGCAGACGCAAGAAAGACGGCAAGCTGCGCATGTGTATTGATTTTCGCCAGCTCAACAAACAAAGTATCAAGGATTCCTATGCCCTGCCAAGAATAGAAGAACTTTTGGACCACTTAGGTGGAATGAAGCACTTTTCCGTGCTGGACATGAAAAGCGGTTACCACCAGGTACAGTTGTACGAGGAGCACAAGGAGAGAACAGCCTTCACAGTTGGTCCTCTAGGCTTCTACGAGTTTAACCGAATGCCCTATGGTCTCTGTAATGCCCCAGCTACATACCAGCGTCTCATGGAGGAGTGCCTTGCCGGTCTGAACCTAAATATCTGCCTGATATATTTGGACGACCTTATTATTTTTTCTCGGACATATGAAGAGCACATGGAGAGGTTGGAACTTGTACTTGTCGTCTTCAGGAGACAGGATTGAAACTAGCCCCAAGAAGTGCAAGTTCTTCAAGAGACGAGTAAAGTATGTGGGATACATCATCTCAGAGGACGGCATTGAGACAGATCCAGACAAGGTAAATAAGATCCAAGATTGGCCAACTCCAGCAAACCCAGATCAGGTCAGGAAGTTCCTCGGTTTCGCGCAGGATATTACCGAAATTTGTCAAGGATTTCTCTTCGATTGCAAGACCCCTTTCCATGCTAATCCCTCAAGGAACAGTCAAGAAAATCCAAGGTGCGGAAACCTCTGGAACAAATCAACTGGATTTGGGGACCAGATCAAGAATGTGCATTTCAGGAGCTAAAGAAACGTCTGACCTCACCACCCATCCTGGGATATGCAGACTACAGGAAGCCATTTGAACTGCACATTGACGCCAGCGGTCGGGGTTAGGATCTGTACTCTACCAGGAGCAGGATGGTCATCTAAAGGTCATCAGCCTATGCGAGCAGGTCATTAAACAAGTCAGAAAGGAATTATTCTGCACACAAGCTGGAATTTCTCGGACTGAAATGGGCAGTAACTGAAAAGTTCCATGACTATCTATATGGAAGCTACTTCGAGGTTGTAACAGACAACAATCCATTGACATATGTTCTAACTACAGTAAAACTTGACGCCACTGGACATCGATGGCTGGCTGCATTATCTGGATACAACTTCACGATCAGATACAGACTAGGGAAAACTAACATTGATGCGGATACGCTGTCAAGACTCCCAGAATTGAGCAAGACGAAGGAGGACCAAATTCCCACAGATTCTGTACAAGCCATCTGCAACCTCGCAAATACTACCAACTTTGTGGAGAGTCTCTGTTTTGCAACCAGTATCACCAAGGAGGATGAAACACCACTGACAGAGGATATATG